TAAGGCGGAAGTCACACATTTCACTGTCAATCGGATATTACTTATGTATAACTCTGATGTAATAACTAAGGAATTATAGAATTAACCACTAAAGGTCCTTTGTGTTATACTAGTTTAAAGAGATTGAATGACTAAGTTCCATTTGATAAGTAGTTTAATTCCATAAACCGTTTCATTTGTAAAAGTGGTTTAATCCCATAAACTGTTTCATTTGTAAAAGTGGTTTAATCCCATAAACCGTTTCCTTTGTAAAAGTATTCTTAGTTATATCTGTTCTACAGTAAAACATTAGTATTAATACCGGAAAATGTTATATTATCCATAATACTGCCTTGTGGTTTTAAATGTTCCAAAACCAGAAGTACAAGTATATTTGCCATACTTGATTTCATGATACGTAGTTTTTACTGTAAGTAAAAACTAACCGAAGGTATATTTGGTCAGGATGTAATTATCTTTTCTTACTGTTTTAAGAGAAGTATATTACTTAGTAATTTACTCATTGTTTTATCCATGTGAGTTCTATTAACCATACTAATATGACTGATATGCCTGCGGCGACGTTCTTCAAGCGTCGGAAACGGTATGATATTTGACACCCTAGGCTTGCCGGCCAAACTGTAGCGAACAAGAAAGGTGCGGGATTGTCAGTCCCACATAGATCTATACACAAATTCACGCTCTCCCTACAAGAGATTCTGGTTAATAAGTAAGGACTTAAGGTCGTACTTAGATAAGTACACCATGAAGAGTCTCACAAATTTATTGTTTCAACGAGATTTACGATGTATTATTACCCCGTGATTGCTAACCCTGGTACTCTGTATCGTACCTTTGTTAATGCAATCCCGATATGATGTATTATTACCCCGTGTTTGCTAACCCTGGTACTCTGTATTGTACCTTTGTTAATGCAAACCCGGTATGATGTATTATTACCCCGTGTTTGCTAACCCTGGAACTTTGTATTGTACATTTGTTAATGCAAACCCGGTATGATGTATTATTACCCCGTGTTTGCAAACCCTGGTACTCTGTATTGTACCTTTTGTTAAAGCAAACCCGGTATGATGTATTATTACTTCTTTAATATGTTATTCGTATATTAAAGGCATTATACATATCCTGGTATAGATAAATGAATTGTTGGTAATTTCCTTGGAAAGTATACAGTCGTGAATCATACTTGTATATTTAGTTTTGTATCATAAATTATACCTATTATAATTTATTTGTTCAATCTAATTAGCATGATTTCTCATAGATGAACACCTTTGCTCAGCATGATACAAAGGTAATGATACCGAATGGAGTAACCTTTTATATTCATATATGTATAATATATATATATATATATATATATATATATATATATATATATATATATATATATATATATATATATATATATATATATATATAATTAAGAAGGAAATGACCTTCGGACAAATAACATCACCTTAATTCCACATCCAAACAAGGAAAAGAAATAAGATAATTCATTAGTCCTAACCCTTCAAATCTTATTTATATATTTATACATATATAAACCTGATTTTGGCAATTATAATTTGAAATAATTTATTAAAAACCATTTTCAAGGAATTTAACGGATTTTACATGACTTTAAAGATTTAACATGGCTTTAAGTCATTTTGGAAATATCTGGTAATCCTTAAAAGCATAAAGAAAGCCTTTGTGTGATTATTATCACATACAGTTATTAACACAATCTAATATTGTGTTAAACTTCTATTCCCCCCTAAACAGCATTTAAAAACCATTAAAAGGTAAATTATAGGGGTATGAACTCACTTTGATAAGCGGTAATTCGGGCAGCATTTCGTTTCTATAGATGATATTCCTCGAAGAAACCGTGAGTTTTTGAGTAAAAAACCGGCTTTATGCGGGCAGCACTTCGACTGGAAAGAGGTTATCTTCTCGAGAATTCCGGGGGCTCTGGGGCTTGCTTCGGGTTTTTGACACGATACCGGGGCCTTGGGGGGTCGTGAGAAAGTTTAGGGGGTGAAAAGGTGAAAAGTGGTGAAATTTGGGGTGAAAAACCTCTCAAATCTGAGAAGTCTCGCACCCTTTATATAGGGGTGCGAGGGTTCGGTCCGAAGGGTGACTCAGCAGACAGGTGGCGAGGGCGAGGAGTCAGCAGGACACGCGGCAACTTCTGCGAAGGCCACGAGGTCGAAGTCTAAGGCGGTTGCGAAGCTCGGACCCGTTGTGAGGCACGTGTTGGCTTCTGAGTGGACCGAACTTCGGTCCAATGGGGAGGGAGCATGACGACTTCGGACCAATAAGCAGGTGACACGCGAGCCTGCGGTCCAATCAGAAGACGCCACGTGGAGGCTGCATGCGAGGGTGACATGTCCGGATTGAGGCCATGCGATTTTTCCCGGTTATCCACTAATTCTCGGTTTTTGTGCCAAAACTTGCGAAAATCATAACTTTCGCATACGAGCTCTGTTTTTGGCGTTCTCTATATGCACGCGTAGGTAAAATTATACTCTACGACTTTCGTTTAGACTTCGTCGGCTAATTTTGAATTTATTTTTAATATTATTATTTTTAACAGACCGGGACAGAAAATCCGTTAAAAATTCATAACTTCTTTATCCGACGTCCGTTTTCGTCTGTCTTTTTTCCGTTGTTCTACTTTTGACGAGACCTTCGATTCTCGTTGAAGTTGTGTCAGCTAAATATCGATCGATATAATTTCGAATTTTTACCTGTCTACTGCTAAACCGAAACTTAGAAAAAACATAACTTCCTCATACGAAGTCAGATTTTTACGTTCTTTTTTTTGAACGTTCTCGGTTTAACATATTCTACAAATTTCATTTAGATTGTTAAGGAAAAAAAGCCTTTTATCGAAAATTCACTTTTTACACTGAACAGTGTTTTGCCGGTTTTGTTGCGGATTTTCGATTGGTCATAACTTCTTCGTTATAACTCAGATTTCAGTGTTCTTTATATTTTTGGAAACCTTGTTACAATCTCTACCACTTGGTTCATCCCAATTACGATTATTGATCAATTTATTTTTGACCTAAATTTGACTGGTGTCACATAAAAACTTCTAGCTTTTGCATGAACTCTTGTAACTTCTTGTCATCATTACTTAATGAAGACAAGCATTGATCAAGCATGGAAAAAGCTTTGTATGCAACCTTCTCAACATTTCCAAACGAATCACCATATCTAAACGTCCTTTTCAAAACTGTGGTGGGGATAATATATTTCTTCTCCATCTCTTAACAATGTATCTTGACAGAATCTCTTGTATGTCATAAATCTTTAGAATACAGAAGATGTGTCTACAAAAAATTCCAAACCGCTCAAAAAGCATGCATGAACATTTACCGTTAGATCTTCTCTGTTGAATTCAACCTGTTTCAAAAGTATTAGGATAATAAGTATATTAAAAAAAGAAAAATTAGAATATTTTTCAAAACTATTAGAATATTAAGTATATTCTAATAAGAAAAATTACAATAATATAAAAAAAAAACTTAAGAAAACAATTTAGTAATAAAAATTAAAATATTAGAATTATAAAATGTCAACATTACCTCAAAATCACCTTCACTTGTGTTAAAATTCCATTCAGAATCGATGTCAACTTTTTCTTTTTTTCTCAACTACTACCTTCTTCTTTGATAGATTTTTCCTTTTGTTTTTGACAATGCATATGTCGGAAACAACACCTGAAGTAGCACTCTTCTGTGAACAAGAAACAAGTGAATGAAGAATCTCCCTCTGCACCATGAGAAAAATAGTCCTGGTGTATACCATAGATGCATGTTTCTCCATATCTTCAAGAGGTGTTTTGATAATTGGAATTATAGTAGATGTATCAAAATCAAATTTGATCTGATTATTCCTTTGCCTTTCCATAACAGACTCAAAAGCATTCATGAAATTGTTTAACGTATAAGCATGATGCGATACCCTATTGAATGTTGAATTCTCACTTTCCGACCGAGAAGTTGTTCTCATTAGACCTGAGATCAGTACATCTTTAAAATAGGCTGGAATCCAACTGCCTCTCAAATCAAACATATCTTTCATCCATTTATTGTCTTGTAACTTATATTTTACCATTAATGCATCCCATCTCATTTCAAAATCATTCACAACAATTTTGGAGTCCCATACTATACTATTGAAATCTGCCTTAAAATCCGATTCATTCATTGTTTCCCAGCTTACCTTCAAAAACAATTCATATATTATTCTTTTAGAATATAATATAGTATAAAAAGGCATTTCATTTAATATATTATCCTAATTACAAAAAATATTTCATTTAATATTCTGATAAGAATATAATACAGTATAAAAAGGCATTTCATTTAATATATTATTCTAATTACAAAAAATATGCCATTTAATATTCTGATAAGAAAAGAACAATAATGTCATAATTATATTGAAAATAATGTCATATTTATACTGATAAGAATATAACAATAATGTTAGTACCTTCAATGGAAGTTTACTTGTGATATGCCACACACAAAATCTATGTTTTGTGTATGGCAATACTATCTCAATAGCTTTTTTCATTGCTGCATCTTGATCGGTCACGACCATGATTGGTGCTTTAACAAAACACTTCAAGAATGACCGAAGTAACCAAATATAGGAATTTGTATCTTCTCTACACAACAAACCAGCTCCAAAAGTGACGCACCTTTTTTGATTATCAGTGCCAGTAAAAGGTACAAATACCATACAATACCTAAAAAAACACAAAAAATACCATTAGAATATATAACTAAAAATGTTTATAATTCCAGAATAAATACCTGTTTGTACGATATGTTGCGTCAAACGAAAAAACGTCCCCAAATAACGCAAAATTTTGTTTTGAAGTGTCATCAGCCCAAAAGAGAGCATTTAACTGCTTCTTGTCACATCTGTATTCGAATGTAAAATTTGTAACATTCTCTTTACGATTCTGAAGCTTTGTAATCAATAAATTTGCATCAGTGCCCCCAATGTGAAAATTTATATCCCTTGTAAAAATTTTCCAATCTATCTGTAGTTGCCCCCACCTTTTCACTCGAAAGCTTATGTATAAAAGCTTGATCAACAACATCCAACTGACGTTTAGCTCTTGAAAGATGCATACAATCTTGATTGATCAATTTGTGGTTGTGATGTTGTTCAAAGCGCCACAAGTAAACTTCTAAAGAATGTGGTATAACTTTGAATGCAACAAAAGCTTTGCAATTTGTGCGTTTACAATTACTATTTCTCAATTGCTTGTTATGATCATCACTAATCGTGTCTAAGGTAGAAGTGTTTGGCAATCCCCCTCTATTGCATATAAAATATTTCGAAGTTGTGATTCCACTATTTTTCCTCTCTGTTGATTTTCTAATATCAAAACCAGATCTTAATGCATATCCTTTATACCACTTAATAGCATCTTTGATATCTTTAAAAATTAAACCCATAGGAGCTAGCCAACTAGCTTCAACCTCTGGAATACAAAAGAAAGAACCGAAAGCTCCAATGAATTGTTTGCAAGAGCCATATTGTGCCTCAACATTGTCACTTTGAACTACAAAAAAGAATATACCACCATGTTAACATATAATCAGAATAATTTGCATTCATATGACTGTAATCATAAAGAACCACAATGTTATATGTGCATTATTCTATATGCATAATATGCAGTAACATGAACTTATCACCAACATCATTCTATAAAGAATAACCGATATCCGTAACAGAATTACCTTGGATTTCTGATTGATTTCCATCATAATGCAGAATCTCTGAATCACCATAACTGAATTGATGATTTTCTTCATCGTAATGATCATTTCAGATGTCGTTCATATCTAAATTATGCATAACTGTTACTAGGTTAAAAATTGAATATGTTATATGCAACTAACAATGAAAGCAATGATTACCTTGGGTTTCCGATTGATTTTCCTCGTTATGAAGAATCTCTGAATCATTAGAACCGAACTGATGATTTTCTTCATCGAGATGATTGTTTTCGATGTCATGCATATCCAAATCATCCATAACTATTATCATTATTGATATATAAATGTATGTACAATATTCTATAAGAATAACATGCATTCTCATGAACTTATCACTAAGATGATGTTAATGAAAAGCAAATAGATGATGTTAATCAAAAGAAAACAGATGACATATTGCTGAAAAACATATTGATTGAATGAAAGTTAAAAAATCAAACAATGAAATAGATGATGCATTATCAAATAACATATTATAGATTGAATTGTTTTCTAGGTCAAACAAATTCAACAACAAATGATGTTTGATTGCTGAATTGGATGTCTCAACAACAGATGATGTTTGATTGCTGAAATCACAAATTATACAAATATAAAATTGGAGAAATCGATAATAGCTTGATGATTCAATTCATGAACTAGGTTAAAAATTGAATACATTATATGAATGTAACAGTGAAATTGATGAAAACTCAAACCTTGATCAATTGACGATTTCATGATGTTGAGTAAAATTCACAGAGTGAAAGATCGTAAACAATTGTTGAAGATGAAGATTAGCAGAAATTGTTGAACACTTGAACCTCTACCGAAATCGATGATCACAGAGTTAAAACTGATCAAAATCACTCAGATTATCAATTGCAGGTGTAGAAGAATCAAGAACATGAACTCGAAAAACACAACAATCGCGAATTTAAAAGCTATGATTTAGCATCGTTCGATCAATGTCCAAATCAAATTGATTATCGGTTGAAAGAATATAAGATTGGAGATAGAATATCGATCAAATTGAATTGAATAACAAGGAATGTTGTTTCATCGAATAAATTGGTAGAAAACCGGAACAGGTGAGATGATTACTTGATGATGTGAAAATTAACCTAACCTGATCATCTTAAATTTAACCTAGTGACTAATCTACCCCTAATTAACTAATCAGTTAGATTAATTAGTGTTAATCCCTTTTTTTATGAGCCACAAGATCAAATTTGATCAAAGGCTAAGATTTGGTCCCCATGTCTCACAAAATATAGGTGGTCTCAAATGAACCTCTACCTCTACATATATATATATATATATATATATATATATATATATATATATATATATATATATATATATATATATATATATATATTTTGACGAATTATACCATATTGTCGTAGATACAAAAAACAGCATGGATTTGGGTAATGATGTCTTTTATCCGTATAAACCTTTGATAATCTCAATGACCAATCCTGCTTAATGACCAATTTTAATATTTATGATTGACTTTTCCGTAAATGTAACCAAGTTTATCAAATTATATGTATCTGATCAGATGGAAAATTTCATTCATACAAAATTTAAAAATGAGTATTCTATCTTTTATAGAACCGAATGAGTTTATAAAGTGTCTACAATTCATTGATAAGTTTGTTATTAATAACATTGACATTTTGAAATTAATACCTTTATATATTCATGCAAGTCAAAAATTGAATTTTAATTGTATTTTGCGTAATTTAATACAGAATACCAAAGGCACTATAAATTAGAAAAACAAAATGTAGAGTTTATAAAAGCTACCAAATGAATTCAGAAATAACCAGCTTTTAAGTTTATAAAAGCTACCAAATGAATTCAGAAATAACCAGCTTTTAAGTTTATAAAAGCTACCAAGTGAATTTGAAACATAAAAGAAAGGCATCGGTTAATACACTCTATAGAAATTAAAGATATGTTACATGTTTAAATTTACACTTTTATACAATTCCATGTCATGTTATGAATTCCAATGATTAAAAGAGTTTTATGCTTGTTCTAATGATTAGTTTCATTTCTATTTTCATTTTTTTAACACTAGCAATCGATACCAATCAACAATAATAAGCCAAAATGTGTTGTTGTTTTCTGTTTTCAATCCTTCTTGTTGATGCTATTTGTTCTTCTTTGTTGTTCCCATTGGACTATTTTTCCCTTGCTTTTATTTTTGGTTTGTGGCTGTTTTTTGCTACTGTTAGGATGCCCTCTTTATAGTCCTTCACATTTTGTACATAAAATAGGTCACATTGAATTCAATGGATAATTATCTTCCTTCACCCGCTCATATTCTGAAATCAAGACAAATGCAAGTTGTTCATCTAATTTGCTTGTTGATGGCTATTCTGGAACAACGCAAACTTACCATCAACAATGCTCCTAGTTTACCTACTAGAGAAACTCTTTTAAAACATCGACGTGTACGAGAAGAGTTGTTACATAACCTTTCAAATAGTGGTGAATGTCGTGAGCTTATCCGTACAAGTGAGAAAGCTTTTAAGAAGCTATGTGTTATCTTACGACGTGATGGTGGTCTTCGACCAACTCAACGAATGTATGTTAAACAGCATGTTGCAAGATTTTTTTCACATTGTAGGTAATGATTTGAGAAATACATTTGTCTCTTGGATGTATCGATGCTCTAAATCCACAACGAGTAAAAGCTTCCATAGAGTTTTGCGCTCGGTTATAGCATTAGAAAGTCTTTATATTCAACAACCACAATGTGATGTTGTCCTCAAAGAAATTCAAAAGAAAAAGAGATTCTTTCCTTACTTCAAGAACTATGTAGGGGCAATTGATGGTACACATGTTCTTGTCAAAGTACCTAATAGAGATGCCCCTAGATATCGGGGCCGCAAGGGTTACCCAACGATAAATGTCTTAGTTACTTATTCATTTGATTTAAAGTTTACGTATGTTTTAACCGGTTGGGAGGGTACTGCACAAGACTCAAGGATACTGAAGAATGCGCTCAATAGAGATGATAAACTAGTAATTCCAAATGGTAATTTCTAATACCAACTTTTCATTTTTGTGTTTAAATTATTATTAAAAAACTAATTACAATTTAATTATAGGTCGCTATTATTTAGTAGATGCGGGTTTGCCTCACTCAACTACATTAATGGCGCCATATAGAGGTGTTAGGTATCATTTAAAAGAATATTTCATTCGGGCCCCACAAAATGCTAGAGCGTTGTTCAATCTTTGTCATGCTTCATTACGTAATGCTATAGAAAGGGCATTTGGTGTTCTAAAAAGAAGCTTCCCTATCATTAGAAGTAGACAAGAACTTTTTATTCTTGTGAAACACAATCAGACATTTTTTTGGCGTGTTGTATTTTACATAACTTTTTGATAGTTGAAGATCGTGACAAAGATCTTGAAGATGAGGTATTACAGGAGGTGTTAAGTGCACAAACAGAGGAAGTGAGACATAATTCAAGTGGTACGCATGAGGGTAACAACATGACAGAACAACTGAGGAACTCAATTGCAAATCTGATGAGAATTAAATTCTCTAAGATCGTTTAGATTCGTAACAGATTTAGATAAACACAATAAAAGCAAAGAACACCGGACGAATCAAACAAGAGCTGAATGATTAATATGCTCCACCTCAGAAGAGTTCGATAAAGAAATTCAATTGTAGGGGTGTGCTAGGGTTACAGTATAATGAAAGGAATAATAATTAAGAAGCATACAGAGAACGATGCATGTATGCATAAAGTAAACCCTAATGTCATAAACACGGCTGGATAGGCCCATAACCGTGATAACAATGGACCGAGGTAACAAGCCCAATGACGCAACTCCTAGACTCAACAATCTCCCCTTTGCGTCAATTGAGGCGAGAGATCATTTTGGTTGAGTGAGAGTAGATTTCTTCACAGTCTTGAATAACTTCGGTATGATGGCAAGAAGAGTTTGACGGAAGTCAATATAACACCGAAGCATATCCGAAAATTTTTTCTTATCAACATCATTGTTTTGCCTACACCTGTGAATGATGTCAAGAATGTGCTGCAGACAAGTAGTGGAGAACATGTGTTTATCATCAAGAGCGAACAAGCACTTTTGGCCTTCGGCTCTGGTGAACATGACTATGTGATACTCCGGGTCAATCCTACCCATCGGCATCTTGTTAACATATCTTGCCTTCCTAATTGGATTGATTGTAGGCTTCTTCCTTAAGGCATAGACGATATCTTGATCCATCTTGGCAACCTCATGAATGTAAGAAACTAACATTCGCTTGATGTGATCGATGATAGGCTCGTACTGATGTTGATCAGTTAGCAAAATGTTGTTCAGGAGGATCGAGTCGTGTAGGTTTAAGTTCGGCAGATCAGCAAGAGAGGTCATATGAACCGAGTTTTCAGAGCCTCGGGTCACCCTGAACTTCACATTTATAAAATTACCCGCTGAAGTTGGTTTCAATACCTTGACCGTTGTGATCTTTTGTGCGCTCCAGGTCAAGTATTGTGGTTTAGAGAATGCGAGATAGTAGTCAATTAATTCTCGGTCAACCTTCGGGTCAGGAGAGGGAACAACGGCGATTGACTCAAAGCAATGAAATACAAATGCCTTTCGGGTGATAGGCATGTCGAACTAAGAGTCTCTCGAATTCTCACAATCAAACGAGATGACCGGTTCAAGACAATGAGTGCTAGGAGACTCGATTGCTTCTTTTAAGAGTTTCTCCAATGACCACAAAGGAAATATAGTTTTTCTATAATCCAATGCGTCATGAGTTTCTTTTCGTTTTCTTTCCCTTTCTTCTTCTTCTCTTGTGATGCGAAGATTTTCATCAAGCTCTCGGTCACGTTGCTTTCTTTTGAGAGCATCTTCTTCGGTTTCTTCCTCATCACTATCATCGATTATCTTTTTGCTTTTGCCCTTCACACTAGAATCTGATGCTTCATTAACCTTCGGTTCAGTGGTGACTTTCGGTTGTGAAGAGATTTGAATAGGTTTGCTTGTTGGAGGTTGTGGGGGTTGACTCTGACATGCTTCTCCCCCTTGTTTCGGAGTGACACCAGTCTCCAGAACACCTTCGATACGGCTCAACATGTCAAGAGAAGGTCTCAGCTTCTCAGCCAAGTGTCTTCGGATGGTGAGAGTAAGAACCGAATCATGTGCCTCTAGGAGATTGGACAGAAGAGAGTGCACATCACCAACACAAATTTTGATAACTGCTCTCTCAAACTTGAGATCATCAATTTCCTTGGTCGCCTGATT